TTTTGGGGCCAGCACCTGCTCAGCCGCGGTGGGAGCCAGGTCCTGGTTCCTCTTGAGCAGCGCCTCGCTGAACGCTGACTCGTCTGCTGCGGGCTTGACGCGGGGAAACGCCATCTCACACTGGGAAAATGAGAAAAATCTGATTTTATAATGCAGGGAAACGCCATCTCACACTGAAATGGGAGAAAATTCACATTTTATAATTCAGAAACAGGAGAAAAATCACATTTTATAATTCAGGGAAACGCCATCTCACACTGAAATGGGAGAAAATTCACAGAAAAATCCGATTTTATAATTCAGGGAAAAGCCATCTCACACTGCAAAAATGAGAAAATTCACATTTTATAATGCAGGGAAACGCCATCTCACACTGGGAAAGGAGAAAATTCACAGAAAAATCCGATTTTATAATTCAGGGAAAAGCCATCTCACACTGAAATGGGAGAAAATTCTGATTTTATAATTCATGGAAAAGCCATCTCACACTGGGAAAAGGACAAAATTCCAATTTTCCCAATTCAGGGAATTCCATCTCACACTGGAAAAAGGAGAAAATTCACATTTTATAATGCAGGGAATTCCATCTCACACTGGGAAAGGAGAAAAACCTGATTTTATAATGCAGGGAAACGCCATCTCACACTGGGAAAAGGCAAAATTCACATTTTATAATTCCATCTCACACTGGGAAAGAGAAAATTCACATTTTATAATGCAGGGAAAAGCCATCTCACACTGCAAAAATGAGAAAAATCTGATTTTATAATGCAGGGAAACGCCATCTCACACTGAAATGGGAGAAAATTCACAGAAAAATCCAATTTTATAATTCATGGAAACGCCATCTCACACTGGGAAAGGGGAAAAATCTGATTTTATAATTCATGGAAACGCCATCTCACACTGGGAAAGGAGAAAATTCACATTTTATAATTCATGGAAAAGCCATCTCACACTGAAACGGGAGAAAATTCACAGAAAAATCCGATTTTATAATGCAGGGAAAAGCCATCTCACACTGCAAAAATGAGAAAAATCACATTTTATACACATTTTATAATTCCATCTCACACTGGGAAAAGGTAAAAAATCTGATTTTATAATGCATGGAAAAGCCATCTCACACTGAAATGGGAGAAAATTCACAGAAAAATCCGATTTTATAATTCAGGGAAACGCCATCTCACACTGAAATGGGAGAAAATTCACATTTTATAATTCATGGAAAAGCCATCTCACACTGGGAAAAGGCAAAATTCACATTTTATAATTCCATCTCACACTGCAAAAATGAGAAAAATCACATT